CCCCAAAACCCCAAAACCCCAAAACCCCAAAACCCCAAGAGTTAAATAAAGTTAAATACAAGAGATGAAATTGATATTGACAGTTCTTACAATATTTAAATAATATTTATATACTCTGATTCCCCTAGGATAATATAATATGGGGGAAGGATTTGGATATTTATTATAAACTACGTCTATATTTGACCACAAACAGACATATATTAGTGGACTTTGTGAATGTTGGGGTTCACTCTCATTAATTATGGTCGCAATTCAGTTTAATCATTAAGATATGATTAAGGTATTGTCTCAGTTGCAAATTTTCTTTTTCTATTTGCTTCAACTTCATCATTTAATCTTATCTAATAAGTTTTTCCATTTTTAATTATTCTTATTTAGTATCTAGCATTTTTTATAAATCTTGAACAGCCATGTCCTTTGAGTTCTTGACTGATGAGACATAGCTCTTCTTTATTTTTTCCTTGCTTTAAGGCAAGGCACCATATAGATCAAGCTGCGGAATTGTAGTTTATTTCATGTGATTTCCAGTTGAACTTTGTCTATATGGAACATCATCATCGCTAAAAATATCTTCTTAATAAGGGTTATGTCTATTATGGATAGCGTTTTTTAGGTACATATTATTGTTAAGGTTATTATTCTTGGCAAAGTTAAACAGTTTCTGCTAATCCTACTTTTTCTTGAAGTCCTGATTAAAGTCGATATACTCGTCATTGCTATCCTGTTTATTAATTCGAATCTGCATGTTAAAGTCTAATTTATCATCGAAGCTTCTGTTATCTTTAAGTCTATTCTAGGCTGTGTAAGCTTTATCCTAGATGTTTCTGTTATTGAATTTTTTACTTGTATGGGTCTTTGATAACAATGATTCATTCTGAGATGGTAATTAGATCCTCTCTTAATCAATAAGTGTCTAAATAGAATTAAAATCTGGAATTCGTTTTTTCTGAGTTGACTTATTGTTCTACTTAATCATATCAGTGAATTTTTCTCCAGAATGCTTAACTTTTGGACTTCTTGGAGACTCTCTGCCTTAAAGTTTAGAAGGGTTATTTATAATTGCAATGGGGGAAGCTTTTTATTGATAACCTTAAGGTAATCTTAGGAAAATTTTTTAATTGCTCCCCAGCATCATTTAATTTTATTGTTACACTCTCATGTCTTCTTCTTGCTATTATTATTGAAAATTCAATGCGCTTTTATTTTGATCATCTTTTTTTTGAATACTATTTTGGTTAAGTTAGAGACCAGTGGGTCTTGTCTGGGATGTCCTCTCATCTAGATCTTCATCTTCTATAGTTTCATTGCTGACTCGGCGCCCTTTATCACCCTTGCTATCAGTACTAAATGTTCCTTTTTCTTTACTTCGATCTTTATAAAGATCTGCACTTCCACTCCTTCTTGTTAATAATGGTGATTGAGCCTATGCTATATTTGGGATAGCATCTTTATCTAGGAGCCCCATTGGATTTTTGAATATTAAAATGTGATTTCTGAGCTACTTTTGCTTCTTGGAGTTCTTTCCAAGCATATTCATTTTATCATTTGATCTCTAGATCTCATCAAGCTTGATTTCCTCGATGCTGCTACTTTCATCCTGAATTGATTCCTCATCTATATCCTTGAATTATTCAAGACTATTCTCAAGTAGCATAATTTTACTTCCTTATTTGAGCATATTACCGATATTCTAATTCTTAGGTGAAATTATTGAAAATTATTGATCACCGATCTTGAAGTAAGAGTTAGGTACTTAACCGTCTGGACCCACAAAAGCATAGTAATTGCTGCCTTATGATTCATTATTGAATGAGAAACAGTTAACGTCAAAAGAGGTGGTACTCGAACTACCCTAAATTGACGGTTTTGTAAGTAATTGGTTATTGTAGGTAGGTGAGAGCAGCAAAGAATGGCACTAACCATCCATTCCGACAACTTAATTCCCTGGCCTAAACCAGACCTGATGAGCTGTTCCTTTTTAAATTTTGCTTAAGTCAAATTAAGTTCCAAAATTAGGAGATTGCATGCTTTAAGTTCTTACTTCTTATAATTCCTCGTTATCGTCATCAATATTGATGAACGGCTTCGGTCTAGCTTAATTCATCACAGTATCTCGCCTGTGATCGTTATTTTTACTTGGACTAGGTTATTTAGTACTCGCTCTAAGTTCGGTAAAATCTGTAGATTTTTTACCATAAACAGGTGACTTTTTATTTTTATTCATATCCTATTGTTATTTTTCTTCGATTTAATTTGGGTTTGTTAGCTAAGTTAAAATAGAATCTGCTAATTTAGAGTTAGTCTTAGCACTTACAGTAACCTCTTATTCATTCTCTTATCGGCAGTTATCTTCGATTCTTTAAGTATGATGGGTTTTCATTTGAAAACTCTGATAAGGCTAATTCGAAATCATCTGTTCCTTTTTAACTTTTGTTTCTGCTTTTTTGAGACTATTTTATCGAGATGGAGTTTTGCAGCCAATACTATGGGTTAATTCAATAAATTCTAATCAATCTTACCTAGGTAATAAGTTTTGTATCTAAGTAGATTTTTATTGTAATTTAGGGGCTTTAGCAGAATTTTAAATGTAGGATTAAGTTTTAAAAATCATGCTGTTTGCTTAAGGTGTTTGCATTTTTATATTCTCTTATTATAATTAATACATATAATTCGAATAAACTTTCATTGTAATTCTTCAGGGGTTTTGGGGTTTTGGGGTTTTGGGG